TATATATATATATGTATATATTGAAAATCTGCCTTCAACTTGAAATTTTTTAATAATTATAAACAAAGTTATCGTAACACTTCATATTTGAAGGAATGTTTTTAGGAAGTAATGTTTTAGTTTTTAATATATTTAAAAAAAAATCATCATCAACCTAACCCTTTACTCATAAAAGTTATAAGTATTCTTACTAAATTAATAAAAATATTACTTAAACAAAAAAAAAACATTTTCAGATAAAATCCAAATTTTGTTCTTTAATTGAGATGCCACCTAGTGCTGCTTTGTTAGTACATTTAGCATTCGGTTATTTGAGCTCGCCTCGCTCACATTTAATTTCATCTGAAGAATCCCTTCTGCCTTTGCCATTAACATGCAAGCCGTTAAAATGTGTGTTTGTTTTGTTTGTTTTTTCTTTTTTTCATTTTTTTTTTTTTTTTTTGGCAAAGTTAAATTTTTCCCTCTCTTGTTTTTTAGTTCATTAAGTTCTTAATAGGCTGAAGTTGGAGCTCATTACTTTCAAACATTGTAATCCACTTTGTATTAAAAGCTATATAACTGACTTTGTTGTGCGTCAATTGCAGAGGGAGGATGCAGGCGAGCGCACATGAAACCAGCCAGGCAAACAGCACTATTCCATATGCCCTTGCGGTGGGGTAACAACACTTTCAGTGAAAGCCAAATAAATACTCAGCCAAACTCAGCTCAAGACAATTCAATTAAGCAACACATAAACTTGACACCCCCGGCAAGACTCTGAGCAGCGCCAACGCCAGCGCCAGTGCCGACCTCTAACACATATAGAAATCGACGTCGCACATTAATAAACTTGCACTTTAAATGAACAGCAGCGAACTCGATAAGGCCAGCAGGGGCCGGGGCATGGTGGGTCTAAGCGAGCGGGGAGGGGCGCGTTACTTGCGGCCAGACAAACTTAAGCAGCAACAGCAACAGCAACAACGAACCTCCAACTTGATTAAGTTGTATGGCTATAACCGGGAAGAGGCTTCAGTCTCAAGTCTAGCGGCTTATTACGAGCCAGCAAGCAAAGTAAATTGCAAAAAAATAACTCGAGAAAAAGAAACTGATCCGACTGAAACCAACACGCCGACACTTAGATACTCTATACATATATAACTAAAATGTATATTTAAAAGATTTTTTCGAAAACATCTAAAAGAACTAATGAAATACTCAATTTCGCTTAAAATAACTGTTGTATCCGATATAAATATATATATTATGTAAAGTACCAGTTGTCAACATATTAAACACTATAATATAAAATTTTACTAAATCATTGTAATAGAATACAAATTCCTATACAATTATGAAGGAATGAAAAGAAAATTCGAAATAACTGAAAAGCTGTATCTACTCAATCTTAAAATAAAAAAAAAAAAATAGACCCTGCTACTTATTACTTATAAAGCAAAATAACTACTCATGTATGATAATATCTTGTTTAATATTATGAAAAAAGGAACAAAGGAAAATCTCAGCTTACTCAAATCCGATCTCTGATCTCTTTGAAAACTATTTTTACTCTTCCTAAAATTTGCTTTAAAAATCAATAACTGAGAGTATAAATATAATTCCTGAACTAAGTCCAATTCGAAACCTCAACAATTTGATACATATCTCCCACTTTTCTTTTCTAAATTTGTTGTCTTATTCATAGTATCTTCTCTTACTGAATCAACTCTTCGTCAGGGTATGCCTAACAAGTAGCCGTCTACACATTTAGCTAAGTATACACTACGGCCAGACTTGGCCTCTCATCAACGTCTACGGCTCTGTCGCCCGCTTCCCCTTCCCCTGTCGCTGTCTCGCTTTTTAAGCCATGTCTGCGTCTTCGTCTTCGTCTTCGTCATGTCTGCATGGCTGGCAAAAAGTGCATGATTATTACACGAGTTGTTGCTGTTGTACTTAATGTTCTTGTTGCTGTTGCTGTTGCTGTTGTTGTTGTTGTTGCTGTTGGTGTTGTAGTAGTGTACTTACGCCAGTCCAATCCTCAACCTCCCAGTGTGGGCACTCCTCGATAATGCAGGTCTCCTGTGTTGGCGGCTTTGGAGTGCGGCACATAATATCAGCAACCTGTTACCAAAAGGTCCAAGCATGAAACCCATCCACAAAATGTGAAGAGCAGACAAAAAATAAAAAAAGAAGAAGAAGAGAAAGAGGAAAAATATATATAAAGAGTGTGAGAATACATGGTAATAATATGTCAGTGTGTGTTGGTGTGTGTGTTCAGCTGCTACTTTGTATGCAAAATTAGCAGCGTTTAAAAGTGGGCGGCACTTGGGTAATAGCCACTTTCGTTCAACTATTTTGGCCACTAGCATTGCACTTACCCTCGTTTTGATGCCGTTGGTCTCCTCGGCACAGACAACCATCCGTTCACGGTAGCCGTGCCCACAGAGCCGGCTGCAAGTGCTCCAATCGTCGGTTATCCAACTGCGGAAGAGGCGGACAAGTGGTTAGACTATAGACCCAACTATAACATAGAGGCCACTTGCGCGGGCGTTTTGCTGAATTAGTTCAACTAAATTGTTTCAAAAACAAGTTGACCGCCCCTGCGGTTGGAACTCAAAAAAAAAAAAAGAGCAAACAAAAAACAGAAAAAATAGAAAAAATAAACAAAAAGGGCAAAAGGAGGCGTCCACGCTCCCCTTTTAAAATGGTGTCGGACACTAAAGAGCATGGCGTTTTATGCAGACAGATTATATAGTTGAGTGAATCACTTTGTGCATGTATTGGGACCAGAAAGCGAGGGTCAAAATAAGAATTGAGCTGTCAGGGTATAAAAGCAGTCCGTCCATTAATGGAATGCATAGCTCAATTGGGAAAAAGACCAAAATAACTTCAGACTCTTAGCTTACTCCATAGTTCAGTTCAGTAAAGGATACGAGACTGAAAATTCAGTTCATGCAGATAGACATATGCATGTAGCTATATCATTTATATCAGCAAAGGAAATCTCTCTTAGATCAAGTAATCCTCCCCTATTAAAGGTATACAAAATTGGATTGCTTATATTGCCATGAACGGAGTTTTAGTTTTATTGCACATGCATGTCATTTAAACTTATCTCATTGATCAGACTATCCAATTTATATATTAATCTAATGCAGTTCTAAGGAATAAAACAATCCTTACCTTATATATAGCTACAAACTCCTTTCACTTACAATAGTTACACCCTCTGTTTAAGCACCCTGCTCCTACTACTCCGCTCCGCCTTAATCGTAATTTACAAACTATTCACTCGCTCAGTTACAGCAAAAAACTCATGTGTCTAGACTTTATCGTCAATTCCAGCTTAAATATCCTTTCTCCCCCCATTTCGCTTAGACGATACAACTCAATTGCACTACCAAACTAACAACTATCATAAGTCTTTGGCAAACACAATGATACTCCAGCCCAGTGCTTTGCCCCAACCAGCTATTAGCCAAGTCCCCAATGCTGCAGTAAGCGTTGCCAAGAAACCTCAAGACAGCCAAAATCACAGGCAATAATTGATGTCCCAAACCGACGGCGGCCCAAAGCCGCGAACAGCAATAAACAGACCGAACGCCAGAAAGCAACAGCAAAGAGCAAAAATGGGAAGGCAGACCAGTATTGACTGTAAGTTGCCCTAGATATTTACACTTAGTTGGGAATATAAAAACCTTAGATGATATATGTAAATGTTCATAAAATGATATGGAATTTAATTTACTATATAGAAATTGTACACTAAATTTCATTACTCTAGACTTTATATAGCCCGAGTTCACATAGATAGATAAGTGAATAAGTGGAATATAATAGATTTTCTTCGTTTTAAGCCACATTATATATACTAGATAATCATGTTAATGGGATTTTTTAATTTTTGTTTTCCTATTTTAATTTAAATTATCATATAAGAAATGACGAAATTGTCTAAAATTATGAAACAACAAATATATTCGGACACACAAAAATATATATTTCATTTAAAAAGTATATATTCATCTTCTATTCTCTGAATATATGAACTTCTCTCCTAGGTATTCCGAAAACATCTGCCTAATACATCTCAGACTTACAGGGTATTCTGAAAGCGAAAAGCAGAAACAACAATAGGCAACCGCACAGAACGGAGATTAGAATTTGAGGCGCTTCGCGCGAGATACTCGGAAAATTGGCGTAAACTTTCAGTTCGGTTTTTGGAAAATGTCACAGAACGATAAATACAGTGTGGGGGTCGTCTGTGGTGTTATGTACATATACATATAGATGTATGTATACACAGGCTGGGCAGACAGAGAAGGCGCCAAACAAGGACAAGACAAGTCAGAGTCCTCGCTGTGCTGGGCGATAATAGAGCCCGAGCCGAGTAGGCAATCAAAACGTGCGCACGATAACCAAACGCCATTTAAATTGATAGCTAGCCAGGTGGACGGAGGGACAGACTGAGAGATGGAGATGAAGATGGCGAGAAACAAAGGTGTGTGTGGGGGGAGAGGGAGTAGGCAGGTGGCCTGCCTGCCTGTCTGTTTGGGGAGTTTGGGGGCAACTGTCAAAGCTGTACTTACCGCGGCGGACAGCTATGTGTATTACATGGCACCACCGAATTCTCCGGGCGATTAGCGGCATTGCAGAGCATCGTATCGACATCAGCGCCAGTTAGGCGATTCTTGCACACAGGACGAGACATTTTGTAACCTACGGCACAAACGAAACAGAAATAGTTAGAAAGAGATAGGGAGAGAGAGAGAGAAAAAAAAATGAAGAAAATAAATGAAGAAATGCTGAATGGCGTTAGTATTATGGGTAAAGGCTAAAAATTGGAACTGGCAGGCGACGTGCATTTGCTGCATTTTAAAATCAATAATAGCCTGAAATGGCTTTCAGTGGGCCGCTTGGGTTGCTTTCTCTCTGCACTGCAACTTTAATGTCACTTAGGCACTTAAGACAGTCACGGCCACGCAACGAGCAGACCAAACAGAAAAGCTTAACCCAAACCATGAAATGCTCCGGGGAAGACTTACAAAGATTTTGAGACAAGACACATGACTTGGAACTTAAATGTTACTATTGAGTTTTTATAATGCTTAAATGTTTTAAATATTTAATACGTTAAAATTACTATGTGCAAAATATTATTTATCATTTGTATTATGTAGCTACAATAAATGATGAATAATTATCATATTATAGCTTTTATACGTTCTTTATTAATGCCAAAAGTGTAAAATAAACACTGCTCTAATATAAAACATATGCAATACCGATAAATAGGTTTATCTAATTCCAAAATTATATAACTTTATTCGATTAGAATAAAATAAATATTAAACAAGAACATGAAAAACTTCTGGTCTGCATTTAAAAAAAAAATGATTTTAAATAATTTATTCAAGAATA